TGCAATCTCGAATTTGTACGCAATGAATGCAGCACGACATGCACGCTATCCAAGAGCCAAGCCGCTTGGCCAAAGCGATTTGCCAACACTTTGTGCTTTCACTTCCGAGGATGTTAGCCTACACTGCTTTAATTATGCTTCACCAACGCTTCTGATTTTTCGAGTAGCAGCATGACTCTTCACACCGAAATTAAATTGAATAAGATTAAATTTCACTTCCGATGCTGACAGTTATTACTAACATATCGGAATCGATTTGGATTAATCAAATCAATGCCATCCGAATTAAAAAAGATAATTTAAAAAAAAAGTGTGGAACAAGTGATAAACTTAGTTAACTTCCCTTTTGCAAATGGATATGGATCAGATGTGAAAACATTTGGTTCGATTCTCTTCCCGTCCAAATTCACTTGCAAAAAGGGCTCCGCTCGCAACAGCACGTACTGGTGTATCATCTAGTAGTGCATCTGTGCAGCACACCATTTGAAAAGCTAACGATCTCTGAGCAATTCCCGAAGCGGTAATATAAATACATGAGCAGGTGACAGGTACTAACTTGTGGAATGCTGCCCAGGATCGAAGGACCTAGTACAACTGCCTCCAATGATTTGGAGCATGCCAGTAATATCCTTGTCCTGGCAAGGCGATTGGTCGATTTGTCTGAATCTTGGTATCCAGGTACTTCATCGGCTATTTCACATGCTGCTAATTTGTAACTGCTGTTGCAGAGTCATTACTCGATCAAAGGAGCGGCTGCGGTAATGGGCATCGGTACGGATAATTGCTTCAATATCCCAGTGGATCCAGCTGGACGTATGATACCGGAAGCGCTGGAACAGCGCATTGTGAAGTGTAAAAGAGACGGTAGTTTTTTCGCGATTTTTAAACGACTCGGCTGATTTATGTTGCCCAATTGAAAATTTAACCACTGCATCTGAATAAATTAATGGTACCACATAATTAGTCCGGCTCCCACTACTCATAGGAAATTGAGGTTGTTTATATGTTCTGCGTTTTTGCTAGCTAAGCGTTTTGCTTAAACTGATAACACTGATGATAAGCAAGAGAATTTGCATGCTTCAAACCAGGCACATCAGGAAAACTGACACTTTCACCGTCTGCGTAATTCTCGTCAACTCTTACTCCTTTCGCGCCCACCTCCTTGCTTCTTCCTTTTCCTGGATTTCTGGTTCGCTGTTGTAGCAAAATACAGTTGTTAATTTAGGCATTCTTCCGTTAAAAGCTGTATCCGAAATTTGCCATGCCAACACAGATTTCGTTGAGTTTGTTGTGCCAAGAAAAGGCCATCAAATCAAGAGCTGCATTTAGCAGTCTAGAACTAACAAGAACTCCCACCAGACAGCTGCGCCCTCAGTCTAACAAACAAAGACTAAATCGGGATTTACTGCATCTCTCACGCAAATAGTGGCATGCACATATCAGTCAGTAATTTCTCAAAATCTTTTGCGCATCTTTTGAAAACACGGCTTCAACCAGCAGTAGGAGATAGTTACAAAAGTTATGTTTTTGTGGCACTTTTTTGAATCACTTTCTCCTGCAGTAGTAGCACTTGGTTAGCAACAAACTCCGCAGATAAAACTTTTGAAGAGTGCTTGAAAAGCAAGCTAAATGCAGTTTGGTTCTCAGCTGCGCACAAAATTCTAGCACCAGTTTACCATCGAAACGGACTTAAAAATGTTTTTTATTAATGAAATTGAAAAACAACTTGAAAGCGCCGGCAATTCCCTTGCTAGATCTCTTATATACAAGCACGAAGATAAAGGTTACATGAAGCTTATAGGTCTGGAGCCATTTTTTGTATGTGCAACAGCTGGCACAACAGTTTATGGCGCATGGGATCCAATTCCTCAAATAGCTGATATTTGCGATCGACATAAATTGTGGCTTCACGTTGACGTCTGTTCTTTTTATTTGGTTTTGCTTCTTTTTATATGTAATTAAATAACTCTGCTTGCGGGATTCTGTAATTTGTAGCGCATCTAAAAAAAGTTTTGGGAAAAGTTCAACAGCAAAAAAATTTTCATATTCGCCTAAATTCCAATAAGTTTGCTGTGCAATCAAGAGTGCCCGGGCAATCATTGTAAGTGTTCCTTATTAGTGATATTACTACAATGCTCCACACGCTGGATACAGTTAACCTTATCTCTAGTTAAGCTTATTTTGGGTTGCATACCTCTAATTACCCGTCGTTTGTTAAACGTTCGGAGACTGCAGGTTGTCGTTTACTTGCTGGCGAGTACCACTCACTAATGCGCGACGTTCATCGGTCTTTGGCAAGGCAAGCAGCATGTTCTACCCAGTTGGGGCTTTACTTTTTTACTTTAAACCAAATTTCCAAAATGCGCGAAATAATATTGCGAATCATATAGGCAGCATGGGGTGGCGGCTTGTTGTTGTCGCCGGAACACCGACATAAGCTGCGCGGCATTGAAAGAGCTAACTCGGTGATCTGGAATCCTCACAAGCTGATGGGTGCATTGCTGCAGTGTAGTGCTTGCTTCATCAAACAAGAGGTATTCTTGTTTCATCTGGAAATTTTCCAGGAATTTGTCAGTGAAGTGGTAAGGTGACGGTCTTATTTTGGTGCAGTAGACGGTAAGGTCTTGGATTGGCAACACTTACCAAAAGCTTTTCGAAACAATTAATTCGTTGCCTAGTCCTTCTGCACAGAGAACCGTTGTGCCAGTAATCTCTGCAGGTGATGAAATGAACGTGGGGATTGTCAACAGGCTGACCAACTGGCGATACAGCATTGGTCAGAGCAACTGGAAAGTAATCAGATGAAAAATCAGACAATGAATTACAGGCAGTATTTCGAGTCTAACGCCTGTGATTTTCTTGAAAATTTTGGGCACTAAAGCGGTTTTTATTGTCCTAC